CTGATGACTTTATATCCATGCTCAGATGCCAAGGAGCTCAGAAAGTAATCAGATATAAAGAGATTAGAAACGCATGTGCAAACTTCTTAATGTCAATTGCATTTAAAATGAGTTTTTCTGTATGAAACTGTATTTTAATAATGGAAATGGAGTTCTTTTTTTTTTTTGCATATCATGGTTGTATTTTATTTTTCAGAATCCAAGCATAAACATATAAATAGAATAGTGGCACAGCGTAATGCATTCTTCCAGCGTAATGCATTTCCTGAAATTGGAAATTAGGTATAAGTATTTGCTCAGTCATCGCCCCCTTGCTCCTTCTCTCCTTCCTTCCCTTTCCTTCTCCTTCCCTCTCTACCTCTGTCCTTTCCTGCTTCCCTCTTTTCCTTCTTCCTTCTTCCTGCCTTTCTTTCCTCTGTCCTTCCCCCCTTTCCATTTATCTTTTAGCCAGTGTGACATTCTTCCCCCAAGTCAACTCCTAAAGTTCCTGACACTATATGTTATATGTATGTGTGTGTGCGTGAATGAATGCACTGAGTCTGATTTCTGTCACATAGCTTTATGATTCGCTGAATTATCTATTGATGGCTATTTAACATTTTTCATTTTTCATTTCTTATAAATATTAGTTAAGGCTCCTTTGTGTAGTTCATCCATACATCTGTTCTACTTTTAACAGTTATGAATATAGCTCTATAAACTATATGTATGTGTGTGTGCGTGAATGAATGCACTGAGTCTGATTTCTGTCACATAGCTTTATGATTCGCTGAATTATCTATTGATGGCTATTTAACATTTTTCATTTTTCATTTCTTATAAATATTAGTTAAGGCTCCTTTGTGTAGTTCATCCATACATCTGTTCTACTTTTAACAGTTATGAATATAGCTCTATAAACATTTGTATGCATATGTTTATTTGAATCCGTGTTTTAATACATTCCTCCTGAGTGACCTGAAATGAGGTTGATTATGGAAGTGTTTTATTTCTGTCTGCAATATCAGGAGTCTTTGTAATGGGATTCATCCAGCTGAACATCACCACACCAACGTTCTCACAATGGATAAAATTAGCCTGAAGTCCTCACTTCAGTTTCTTATACCAGATATTTTGGTCACAGTGACCTACAATAACACGATATTTTCAAATTTATGACACAATAAGATTTCCTATAGTATTGCATATTGAGTTTTAATAACTTTAATATATGCAGTGATAACTTCTATTTTGTTTCTTAAAACTGACAACATGTATGAATTTCGCTGTGCCTATCTTTATTATAACAGACATTTCTCTAATATTTGGTCTTAATGTCATTGTTTTCAGTTAATTTTATTGTTTCCTTATTACTGATTTTTATGGATCATATATGCTTTCCTTTTCCAAGTTTATTAAGAATTAAATTCAGATCACTGTCTAAAATTTTATTTCTAATAAAAGCACTTTTTTGTTATACTGTTTAGTTTATTGAATTAAAATATGTCTTTACTTATAAGTTCATCTTTTGCCCATGATTACTTAGGAGTATGTTGTTTAATTTCAAACATGGGATTTTTTTTCACATATATTTGGTACTGATTTCTGATTTAATTTTCTTATGGATTGTCAATATATGTCATATGAGTCTTAAAGTTTGCTGGCATTTGCTTTTTGATTCAAAAAGTGGTAGATTTAAGTGAACATTCCCTCCGTATTTTAATACAACCTATATTCTTCTG